AGGGTAATCGGTGAGACCTAACCTATGGTGCATGTTACAAGGGTGCATGTCAAATATATTAAGAGTATTAATGTTTTAACACAATGATTAAGTAAGTGAAGTAAAGGCTATGTTAACCAGTTTGCTGTAAGCTTTCTAAATTGTATATAAAATCAGGACATTGTACCCCATAGATGCATTAATGTACACAGTTATGATTTAATAAAAAAAAGAAAACTATTAAATATCATTAATTATTTTTGAAAAAAAAAAAGAGCTATCCTGTAATTTTCAACTGTGCAGGTTGGTGCCCCAAACCCATGTTGTTTAAGGGTCACCTGTGTGTATGTGTTTATAGATAGTATAAGCTTTGTAAGTTGATACTCGGGGGTCTGTCACAAACTGGTCAACATATGGAGGCAGTCAAGGTAAGGAGCGAGGCCTACCATACTGATGTGTACATGTGGTGCATGTCTGATCTGTGAAAATCAGGTCGACTTGAGGTGGCCAGTGCAGGGAGGTGGTCAACAACGGAGGTTCTACTGTATATCTAATTTGCTAAAGGAAGCAGGCCACATTTGTCGGGTAGTTTCCCATACTTTAACATTTTGCTGATATTTTTCCTGTCATGTTCTTTAACATGTTCCTCTTTTCTCTATTTTGTGAATGCTGGTAGCTGAAGGGTGTTAGGAAAGCCCTGTTAGAATTGGGGCTTGTATTAGAGAATTTGGGGGTGGGTTGCAGGAAGCTGGCTTTGTTCTGGATTGATGTTTGAAAGTGGGGCAGTTCTATGATTGGGTGTCTTAATAAATCTTATCTAAGAGGAAGGGAAATTAAAGAGAGTCTAAAGCTATGATTGTTAAGCTAATGGAATCTGTTTTTAAAAGAATTATTGGTTAATAAATTTTAGACAAACTATAAGAGGATCTTCAGGGTACATGATTATTTTTTTTTAAAGGCCTTCCTCCCCCCCATCTATACCAGGCATTGTAAGTTCTTGAAACATAAAAATGTGTAAAACCATTTCTACTTTTAGTGAGTTCACAGTAATTTTAGCTGTTATATGCATATGGAACCAATATGTAATAACAACCAAACCAATTTCAAATGTTTGTGGAGAAAAGGAGATAATAAAGACTTCTTTGTTGGAAAAAATTATTTGAGGGGTGTTTCATGTAATCAAGACATTATGATTTCTGTAAAAGAAATATTTATAAATTCAATAGTTAAATAAAGAGCAAGTGAGCTAGAAACAGTGTAAGTATCTTGTTGCAAAGAGAAAATGAAAAAGGACATGTTGTCTTTGCAAGACCAATTAGCCTCTTTAGAAAGCCACGTGGAATACTCGAGTAAATTGAGCTCTAACTTGCTGTAGCCCACTTCCTCACCTAAGAAATATTCTCACCTTCTGGTTCATTTTCAGCAATTTACTTCATTCGGCCTTGTTAGAAAATTTTCCATTGGAAAGTTGCGATTTGTGTTTGATTTCATAGATCTTGTTAGCATGTACTATGTTAGACATTTTATTACTGGAGAAAGAAATACAGCCATCCTTCAGAACCTGTGGGAGGTTAGATGTAGGATCCCTGTGGGCACCAAAATTGACTCATGTGCTTGATGTAAAATGTCACAGCACTTGCATATAACCTATGTACATTTTCCCATATGCATACTTAAATCGTCTCTAGATTATTTATAATACCTAATACTACATGAGTGATATGTATATTGTTGTTTTACTGTATCGTTCATAGGATAGTGACAAGGAAAAAGTCTACACAGGTTCAGTAGAGATGTAAGTATTTTTCTGAATGTTTTTAATTCATGGCCTTGGAATCCACAGATGAGGAATCTACAGATCTGAGAGTTGACTATAGTCTTTAGAACTGAAATGAAAATAGACC